TTGAACTCACAGAGATCTGTCTGCCTCTGCCTCCCAAGTGCTGGGACTAAAAGGCGTGCGGCCTTGAAGATGAATTCTTAATCTTAGGACAAACAACAATAAAACCCAAGTGACCTACAAAGACCCTTGGAGAATGATTGTATTTCTTGAGAAGGATTATTCTTGCTTGATTAAAGAAAAACAACAACAACACTTCTAGGGGTTGGAGAGATAGCTCAGCTGACTGCTCTTACAGAGAGGATCCAGGTTCATTCCCAGTATCCCACATGGTGGCTAATAACTGTCTGTAACTCTAGTTCCAGGGGATCTGATACACTTTTCTGGCTCTTCGGGCACTGCATACATGTGTGCGCTTATATACATGGAGGCAAAACACTCATATTTATAAAATACGAATAAATAAAAAATAAACGCTAGAAGTTTTAATTCAGTTTGGTTTTTTTTAATTTTTTTTTTTCGGTCTCTTTGAGACAGGGTCTTCTTGTAGCCCCAGCTGGCCTAGAACTATTTAGACCAGGCTGGCCTTGAACTCACAGAGATCCATCTGCCTGCCTCTGCCTCCTGAGTGCTGGGAATAAAGGTGTGCACCACCATGCCCGGCTTTATTAACTTTTTAAGGGGGAAGTTTTTGTTTTTTGGTTTTTTTTTTTGTCTTTTTGAGACAGCGTTTCCCTGTAACCCCAGCTGTCCTGGAACTCACTATGTGGACCAGGCTGGCCTTGAACTCTGCCTCCTGAGTGCTGGGACGCCCAGCCTGGGGGAACGTTTTTTGTTGATTATTTTTTGACAGGGTCACCCTAGTCACAGCCTGCTGGGGAGAAGCCACAATGTAACCAAGGTGGCCTTGATCCCCCGGAGAGCCACCTGCCTCTGAGGGCTAGGATTAAAGGCACATGCTGCTACATCAGTTGTATCTTTTTAAGGTCTGTAGGCTCTGCAGAGATGTCCCCTTTTCAATTCCTGATACTGGTAATTTGTATCTTTTTATTGTTATTGTTAGTCTGGCAAGAAAGTTCTTAGTTTACTGATATTTTCAAAGAACCATCCTTTTGTTGTTGAGACAGGGTCTCATGTAGCCCAGAGTGGCCTCAAACTTGCTGGGAATAACTTTGATCTGATCTTTCTGTCTCCACCTCTGAAGTATTGGGATTATATACAGGTGTGCAGCACCACACCTGGCTTATTAGTGTGAACTTTTGTGCAAAATTGGACATTTGTGCCCTAGATTACAGGTGCTCCCCCTCCCACCTGCCAGGCTTACTGTGTTTTAATGATTGTTCTTGTTTTTTTATTTTTATTTTTTTCGGTCTTTTTGAGACAGGGTCTTCCTGCAGCCCCAGCTGGCCTGGAACTCACTATGTAGACCAGGCTGGCCTTGAACTCACAGAGATCCGCCTGCCTCTGCCTCCCAAGTGCTGGGACTACAGGTGTGCGCCACCACACCCGGCTGTTCTTGTTTATTTTATCTTTTGGAGGCAGCCAGAACTTGCCTGGAACTATGTAGCTGAGTATGACCCTGAACTTCTGATCTTCCTGCCTCCATGTCCCAAATACTTGGATTACAGGTACGTGCTACCATGCCCAGTTTTGTGTGATGCTGGAGATAGACCCAGGGCCTTGTGTATACCAGATAAACAGTCAACCAACTGAGCTACATTCTCAAACGTTTCTCCTCTTCTTCCTCCTCCTCTTCCTTCATTATTATTATTATTAATATTATTATTTGACTCTATGTCAAAGATCAACTTGAGCTGTACAGTGAAGGTCTTATCAGGTCTTTTCTGAGCCTGTCCCTGGAATGTATGATCATTTTCTACATTTTTCCACAGGAGAGTAGGGCTTTTGTCATCCCCCCGCCCCAAGGGCTGAGGACTGAACCAGGGCCTTGGCACTGAGCTAAATCTCCAACCCCGAGTGTAGGGCTTTTTTTGTAGCCTCAGCTGTCCTGGAACTATGTAGACCAGGCTGGCCTTGAACTCACAGAGATCCGCCTGCCTTTGCCTCCCAAGCGCTGGGATTAAAGGCTGTGCCGTGCGCCACCATGTCCAGCTGAGAGTAGGGCTTTTAAAGGATTTTTATTTGAGGATTGGAGAGATGACTAAGTGGTTAAGAACACTGATTTCTCTTCTAGAGGACCCAGGTTCAATTCCTAGCACCCAGGGAAGCCGAGCCCTCTTCTGACCTCCGCAGGCATTACAGGACACGGGTGCACTTACGACGTTCTTGCAGGCAATACACTCATACGCATAAAATAAAAATAATAAAAGACTTTTAAAAGACTTTTATTTTTATTTTCAATTATGTGTTTATGTGAGTTCAGGTCCCCACGGAAGCCAGAGGCATCCAATCCTCCAAGAGCTGGTGTTACAGGCAAGTATAAACTGCCGGATGTGCTGGCTAGGAATTGAACTCCGATCCTCTGGAAGAGCACTCCCTGCTCTTTAACTGCTGAGCCATCTCTCCAGCCAGAGCAGTTGTTTTTGAATTTCCTTTTCTCCAATATCTGGTTTCAATAACCAGAAAAGGTGAAAAATGAAGAGGGGGAGATTTAAAAAGAAAAAAGAAAGACACCGTCTCTTTAAATGTCCTGGAAATCAGTTTAGCCAGAGTAGCAGATGCTTAGAACAGATGATAGTGGCTCCCCTCCTCTTGTTTACCTCTTCAACATAGCTGATCAGAGCGCAGATGCCACATATACGGAGGATACCGTCCTCCTTGCTTACCCTGGCTCCTGCAGGTGGGCTTGTGAGCTGCTCAGGAACGTGAGCACCACGGCTGCCTGCCACCTGGCTGGCTGCCATGCGGCTGAGCTTTGGGGATGGGCAGTCGCGTCGGTGCTGAGCTGAAATTGACCAAAATAAAGCAGTTTACCATCTGAGTCTTCCCCTGGATGTTGAAGTTCCAAAATAGTCATAGCAGATAGATCTGCCTGTTCAGAATCTCTGTAGGGAGAAAAAAAAAAAAATCTCGAGTCTGCTTTCTTCCCAGAATCCTCCCCTCCTAGTTTCCCAGTTTTGCTAGTGTTTTCATTGTGTTCATTGGAGAATTGTATTTGCAGGGGTTCTAACTCAGCCGTTCCCCAAAACCTGCAATTCTGGGATAGATTTGTCTCTTCTTTTTGGTGTGGTGTGGTGTGTGTGTGTGTGTGTGTGTGTGTGTGTGTGTGTGTGCGTGTCTATGTGTCTGTGTGTGTGTGGTGCACACGCACCTGTGTGTGCTGGTATGCATATATGTGCAGAGGCCAGAGGAGGACGGCAGGTGTCTTGCTCTCTCTCTCCACTTTATTTCCTTGAGACAGGGTCCCTCACTGAACCTGGAGTCACACTGGAAGCCAGCAAATCCCAGTGATCCTCCTGTGCGCAGCCCCCACAGTGCTGGTGTTTATAGGTGCGAGTGGCTATGCTCCCGTGCCTCCTTACCATGGGTGCTAGGGATTCAAATTCAATACCATAAGTTTTTGAGGCAAGCACTCTTACCCACTGAACCCACTAAAAATATTTTAATAATTACTGTTTTTTTGTTTTGTTTTTTGTTTTGTCTTTTTGAGACAGGGTCTCCCTGTAGTCCCAGCTGACCTGAACTCACTATGTAGACCAGGCTAGCCTTGAACTCACAGGGATCCACCTGCCTCTGCCTTCCAAGTGCTGGGATTAAAGGCATGTACCACCACGCCCGGCTGTTGTTTTTTTTTTTTTTTAATTTTTACTGTTTACTTTTTTCTTATTTTATATATGTGTATGAGTGTTTTGCCTGTATGCATATATGTACCATGTGTGTGCAGTGCCCATGAAGGCCAAAAGAGGGTATCAGATAATCTGGAACTGGTTGTTTGCTTCCAAGTGGGTGCTGGTAACAAAACCCAGGTCCTCTGCAAAAGCAGCAAGTGCTCTTAACTGCTGAGTCATCTCTCCAGTCCCCATACCTTTTTATTTATTTTTTAATGCTTAGTTTTATGTGTATGAGCGTTATGCCTGCATGTATGTAAGTGCACCCATGTCATGCAGTACCTGCAGAGGACAGAAGAGGATGTCAGATACCCTGGAACTGGAGTTAGCATAGTTGTTAGCTGCTATGTGGGTGCTGGGATTCAAACCTGGGTCTTCTGCAAGAGCAGCCAGTGCTCTTAACCACCGAGCCATCCCTCCAGCCCCTCAATATCCAACTTAAAAAAATTATTTATTATTTTTATTTTTTTACGTGTATGAGTGTATTTCCTGCATGTTGGTAGGTACACCTGTGTCGTGCGAGGCCCAGGGAGGTCAGATGAGGGCATCAGATCCTCAGAAGCTGGCGTTACGGATGGTTGTGTCACCATGTGGGTGCTGAGAATGGAACCCAGATCTGCAAGAGCAGCGAGTGCTCTTAACCGCTGAGCCATCTCTAGTCCCTTCAATACCTAACTTTTTACACTGATTTTGAATGAGTATTTTTCCACTTCCCGTGGCATGTAGAGACCTCACTGCTGCCTCCCTGTACCTTCCTCTACCTGTGTTATAGTCACCACGTGGCTAGCATGTACATACATTGAAAACCCTGTCAGACAATGTTCATTTTGCTTTCAACCATTAGGCATATTTTTAAGAACTTAAAAGTGTAAAAAATGGTGCATTTTATGTAGCTGGGTATTTATTGTTTTTCCTTCTTTCATTCCTGATACTTCTAGTTTTTTTTTTTTTTGAGCTCTTGTTTCTTTTCAGCGTGAATAATTTTTAGTCTTTTCCTTTATACTCCCCCACTTCCCCCCCTCCCCTCCATCTATCAATCATCTACGTATCATCTCTCTATCATCTATCTGCTCTGGGGATTAAACCTAGCATCTTGCACATGCTAGGCAAAGTTCTACCTCTGAGCTACATCTCAAGCCCTCTTTTTACTTTACAATTTTTTTAAATTTCATTTATTATTTTTATTTTATGTGTATATGTATATTGCCTGCATGTAGGTAGGTGCACCCGTGTTGTGCAATGCTGGCAGAGGACAGAAGAGGCTGTCTGATCCCCTGGAACTGGAGTTACGGACAGTTGTTAGCTGCCATGTGGGTGCTGGGATTCGATCCTGGGTCTTCTGCAAGAACAGTCAGTGTTCTTAACTGCTGATCCATCATCTCTCCAGCCCCCCTCTTTTTACTTTTTATTGTTCAGACAGGGACCAGGATTTCAATAACTTGCCTAGGCTGGCCTTGAATTTGCAATCCTCTTGCCTTATCCTTCTGAGTAGCTGGGATTAAAGACCTTCCTCTCTAGGGCTAGCTCTTCCTTTTGTCCTTTATTTATTTTAGACAAAAATTTTCATTCTGTAGCCCAGGTTGGCCTAGAACTGATTATGTGGTCCAGTGCCCAGACTAGCCTTGAACTTGAGGACATGTTCTGACCTCAGCTTCCTGAGTTCTGGGATTACAAGTGTATACCACCATTATTTTACAAACCATGTCTGATGATTAAGTCTCTTAAGTTTTCCTTTCTCTGTGAATATTTTTAGTTTGCCTTCACTCCTGAAGGATATTCCAATGGACATAGAATTCCAAAATGACAATTCTTTCTTTTTATGACTTAAAAAAAATTTTTTTTCCTTTTCCTTTTTTTTTTTTTTTGAGACAGGGCTCACTATGTAGCACTAGCTGACCTGGAACTTGCTAGGTAGACCAGGATGGCCTCAAACTCACAGAAATCCACCTGCTTCTGACTCCCAAGTGCTGGGACTTAAGGTGTGAACCACCCTGTAGCCCCCAACACTACCTTTTTGGCATCCATGGTTTCTGATGTGAAATCCACAATCATTCTAATGTTTTTTGCCTTGTGTATTGTGCTGGGAGGCCACACCATGGCAGGGCCTGAACAAAGGAAGTCTAACTTCTGGAGCTGTTTAAACCAAGAGTGAGCCCTATCTGTTCTCAGAACTGCTCCTTTCTCAATCTGTTTGGAACTAACCTTGTACTCTATTTATTTAAACAGCACTTCTAGCAGCTAGAGAGATGGCTCAGTGGTTAAGAGCACTGGCTGTTCTTGCAGAAGACCTGGGTTCAAACTCTAGCACCCATATAGCAGGTAACAGCCATCTGTAATTCCAGTTCCAGGGGATCTGACACCATCTTTGGACCTCTGAGGGCATTGCATGAGTACACTTACATGCAAGCAATACACTGATACATGTAAAATTAAGTTCGAGGCCAGCCTGGTCTACATAGTGAGTTCCAGGCCAGCTGGGGCTACAGGGAGACCCTGTCTCAAAAAGACCAAACAAACAAAAACCAAAAAACAAATTTTAAAATAATAAAACAATTTTTTTTTGGTATTTTGAGACAGGGTATCCCTGTAGCCCCGGTTGTCCTGGAACTCACTATGTAGACCAGGCTGGCCTTGAACTCACAGAGATCTGCCTGCCTCTGCCTCCCTCCCGACTGCTGGGATTAAAGGCGTGCGCCACCATGCCCAGGAATAAAAAAAGTTTTTAAAAGTTCTGCACCAAAATTTTTTTTTTAGTTTCTCTTTCTCTTGGGGGACTCTGATAACAATGAATGGCACATCTTTTGTCATTGTCTAGAGGCTCTATTTTTTTCTCTTCTCATATTTCTCCCCTTGTTGAGTTTGGATACTATCAAACTGAATTAAGTTGAGTGTAACTGAACTCTGTACTTGAGTCATAAAGTTTGACTTGTCTGCCTTAATGCATAGTAGACTTTAGCCTATCTTGATATGTAAAGAAACTTTGCCAAATCTGAGTACATGCCATGGTAACCAAGCAACTAAATCTCAGCCAATCACAGGCTGAAGGCGTCCAAAATAAGCTTGTGGAAGACAAACCTGGAAACACACCAACTGGGTAATTTAGTGTGTCAGTTCCTACTTTTCAGAAAAGTTACTAATATGGCTTCTCAGTTGGTGGAGGTGTCCTGAACTATCTTCAGTCCGGATGGCTACCTCACTCTAGAACCTTTTATTACGTAAACTTTGTTAAATTTAACTCATCTCAGATATTTTTCAACAATATTTTTTCATTGATTTAATCTTCAAGTTTTGTGACTCTCCCATCATCTCGCTTCTGCTATTGCGCCTGTCTAGTGAAATTAAAAAATTTATTTTATGTGTATGAGTCTCATGCCTGCATGGATGTAAATGCACTGTGTTGTGCAGTGCTGGCGGAGGACAGAAGGGGCGTCAGATCCCCTGGCGGTTGTCAGCTGACATGTGGGTGCTGGGAAACGAACCTGAGTCTTCTGTAAGAACGGGCAGTGCTCTGAACTGCTGAACCATCTCTCCAGCCCCAAAATAAATACATTAAAAAAAAAAAAAAAGAATCTTCAGGGGCTGGCCATATGGCTCAGAGGATAAAGTTCTTGCTGCCAAGCCCAACAACCTCAGTTTGATCCTTAAGACCCAAGTAGTGGAAGAGAACCAACTCCAGAAAGTTTCCCCTGACAGCCACATGCCCCTTTTAGATCATAGTTCTAATAGTTATTTTCCCTTCCCTTCCTTCCCTTCCCTTCCCTTCCCTCCCCTCCCCCTCCCCTGCCCCTCCCCTCCCCTCCTTTCCTTGCTTTCCTTTTGCAAGCAAGCAAGCAAGCAAGCAAGCAAGCAAGCAAGCAAGCAAGCAAGGTTTTATTAAGAAGCAGCCAAAAACTGCCATGTCCAGGAGGGTCCTGAAAATTAGTTGTCCTCACTATTTTTATTTGTTTTTTTGAGACAAGATTGTACTATGTAGCGCTAGCGCTAGTCTCAAATTCTCCATTCTCCTGCCTTAGCTTTCCAGATGCCAGGATTACAGGTGTGCACCCAGCACACCCAACTTTTGACTTAGTTTTACATATTGCTTAATGAATTGAGGGTCCAGGCTGGAAAGCTGGCTCAACGGGTAAGAGCACAGGTTACTCTTGCAGAGGACTTGGGTTTGGTTCCCAGCATCCACATGACAGTTAACAACTGTCTGCAACTGCAGTTCTAGGGAATCTAATGTCTTCTTGTGGCCTCTTTGAGCATTGCATACATTGCACGTACATACATGTAAGCAAAACATTCATACGTGTAAAAAAAATCAAGGGTCATATTTCCCCTATATATCGATCTGATTGTTCTAGCACTATAAAAAAATATTACATTTATTTTTCATGTTTATGAGTACATATGTGTGTTGGCATGCACATGCCACTACATGTGTGGAGGTCAGAGGACAATTTTGGGGAGTCAGTTCCACCATGTGGTCAGTGTAATTCTTTATTTCTTTTGTGATCTGTGAGAATGTGTCTGTAAGCCTCAACTTTATTTCAGCATCACCACCATAAAAAAGAAAAGGGGCTGGAGAGATGGCTCAGAGGTTAAGGGCACTGACTGCTCTGGCATAGTACCCAGGTTTAATTCCCAACACCAACATAGTGAGTGGCTAACAACTGTCTGTAACTCTAGTTCCAGGGGATCTGACTCCCCCTTCTGACCTTCGTGGGCATTGCATGACATGGATGCACTTACATATATACAGACATAAAAAATATACATAAAAATTTTTTTAAAGCCAGGCATGGTGGTGCATGCCTTTAATCCCAGCACTTGGGAGGCAGAGGCAGGCGGATCTCTGTGAGTTCAAGGCCAGCCTGGTCTACATAGTGAGTTCCGGGCCAGCTGGGCTACAGGGAGACCCTGTCTCAAAAAGACCAAAAAAAAATTTTTTTTAAAAAAAAGAAAAGAAAAATTCTTGGTGAGATGGAAGGATACTCAGCTTTCCAGCCATACAGAATTGAATCAAATGGTTCTGTACTACTTCCTAGCTCTGTGACCTTGGGCACACCACTCAATCATCTTCCACCCAATAAATGTTTACTATACCTGTCACAAGCCATACTGTTAATTCTTGTGATTTTAATTCACAAAAACATAGGCTTTATTGTGCAGAGGTTACAATTGTGTGGGGAAGGGAGGTGAGCCAACAGGACAGGCTGTTTTATAACACTGCAGGAAGTTCTGGTGGAAGGCCAGAAAGTGTGTGAGCTGAGATGGTGCTTCTAATTAGTCTTGTGAGGTTGGGAAAGGTTTCTAGAGATGAGAATGCTGAGACCTAAGGGATTTGTGGACAGAGGGAAAGAATAGTCCAGGCTGGGAGAAGAACCCTAGAGGATAATGCATTAGAAGTATCATGACTTGGATATTTCTGCAAAAGTCCTACTGAGAGGTAGTATGTTCATTGTGCTGATAGGACAGGAGATGAGTAGATTTACCAGACAATTAGAAGGCAGACTCAAGTACATTGTGGGTTCCAAGGAATAAAAAAGAGGGAAACTCCCTCTGAGTTCTGGTTGAATAAGCATGGTGGAAGTTAGTGCCAGCCATTTGAACAAAAAGCAGAATTATGAGAGAATATAAGGTAACATTTGAAGTCATGGGTTTAAGATGACAGATGCAACTGAGCATGTCTAGCCACATTCGGGTTCTATTAGTCTGAAAATGTGAAGGAGGCTCAGGGATGGAGATTCATCTGTGTCCATATGGTCAGATGCTACAGATGGTGTTTTTTAAATGGGTGTTGGGTATTGAACCCAGGATCTGGTGTATGCCAGGTAAGTACTCTACCACATTCATGTGTGTCCTATATGTAGGATATTGGGGACACAGGAACACTGGCTCCCGCCCTCAACCAGTTTAGTCTCTTTGTTCTTCATCTGTAGATGACGAGATGAAATAAACTGAGGTAAAATACCGGTTTCAGTTGATTTTTTTTTTCTTTTTTTGGTCTTTTTGAGACAGGGTCTCCCTGTAGCCCCAGCTGTCCTGGAACTAACTATGTAGACCAGGCTGGCCTTGAACTCACAGAGATACGCCTGCCTCTGTCTCCTGAGTGCTGGGATTAAAGGCATGCGCCACCACGCCCGGCTCAATTCATTTTCTCCATCCTTTCCCCGTGGGCTCTTCTGCGCAGGCGCCGTGAGTCCGGCGAGCACCCCGCCCCCCCAGCTTTTCCCTGCGGCTCCCCTCTAACCTAGAACTCGGAGGGGGCGGAGTTCCGATCCGTGACGTCATCAAGCGGCGCCGCCCGCAGGGCGGGACCTGAGCGCACGCGCGCGCCGGGTCGAACGAGGCTGGCCTTGTAAGGAACGGAAAGTGAGGGAGGCGCCGAGGCTGTGGCGGCTGCTGCGCCAGGCTCGGCGGCGGCGTTGGCGGCGGCGACAGCGTAGGCCCGACCTCTGGTGTCTGTCAGCTCGCTCCGTCCCCTCAGCGTGAGTGCCGACGCGCGGCCCGGGGGGAACGAGCGGGCGGGCACGCGGGCGCCGCATCCTCTCCTCCTGCGGCGGCGACTCTCCCCGCCTTCTAGTAGCTTCTCTGCGCCTCCCCCTCCCCCCCATCTCCTGCAGCCTAGCCGCTCATCGCTGCGCACACTCGAAGGTCTCCTCACTGGAAACGCCTGGCCCGGGGAGCTGGCCGCCCGGCTCGCTTCCCTCGGGGCGACCTCGAGGCCGCAGAGGGGGATTTGAACCCCCGCCGTTCCCGTAGGGTTTTGTAGGCACGGTGCGTCAACCGTGCGTAGGTCCTTGGCTAGCTCTGTGGCCTCTCCTGCGCGCCCCAAGTCTTTCCCATTGGAAAATGAGACCGGTTGCATGGGATGTCCTGCAAGGCCTACATCCCAGAGGATGCAATTTGAGGAGGAGCATCAGTATCCACGGCCTTGATTGTCACATGACCTGCCCCTTTCATGCACCTGCCCCTGCACAGTCCATTTGAAGTTCCCCATACCCGGTCTCCCCTCAGAGTGGCCTAAGTGAGTTTGCTGTGGCCGAAAGCAGTCTCGGTGAAGGGCTTTTCCTGCAGCTCACCCGGTGGCCCGACGCTGCGTTTTACCGAAATGTAGCCTTGCTTTCTGTTTGCTCAGCCTGCTTCCCTATGATAGGTGCTGTGTGTGTCACTCAAGAAATTGCTTCCTCGGGAAGGATGATTGTGCATTCGGTCATCTGGTTCATCTTTGAACTGGAGAGAAGGAAACACGTGATCCAGGGTTTTGTAAGGTTGGGGCAGTTGTTTTGCATTCCACTGCCGCCTTCTTGTGACCCAGACTTAATAAGCCTGTTCTTGAACCCCTCAATCCCCATTCCCGAAAGATGTCAGTAACTCCAACTATGACCTTTCTCTTCCGACTTCTCTATAGCCGGTCACACTGTATTCATTACTTTTCTTCAAGGTCTCATAATTCATCCTATCCATTTTTTTAACCTCATGGATGCTTGCAGCTTTATATTTTTTGCCCTTGAGTGCTGGGAATGGAATTCAGTCAGGGCGTTTCACGGGCAAGGCAAGGGCTCCAATCATTGAGCTGCATCCTCAGCACTTGGTGTTTACATTCAGGTTCTCCGTATGTAAATTGGTCTTGAAGTCAGACACCTGAGTGCTGAGATCTAGGCACACACTACCCCACTCAGCATCAGCACTCCTTTCTTTCTTTCTTTCTTTCTTTCTTTCTTTCTTTCTTTCTTTCTTTCTTTCTTTCTTTCTTTCTTTCTTTCTTTCTTTCTTTCTTTCTTTCTTTCTTTCTTTCTTTCTTTCTTTCTTTCTTTCTTTCTTTCTTTCTTTCTTTCTTTCTTTCTTTCTTTCTTTCTTTCTTTCTTTCTTTCTTTCTTTCTTTCTTTCTTTCTTTCTTTCTTTCTTTCTTTCTTTCTTTCTTTCTTTCTTTCTTTCTTTCTTTCTTTCTTTCTTTCTTTCTTTCTTTCTTTCTTTCTTTCTTTCTTTCTTTCTTTCTTTCTTTCTTTCTTTCTTTCTTTCTTTCTTTCTTTCTTTCTTTCTTTCTTTCTTTCTTTCTTTCTTTCTTTCTTTCTTTCTTTCTTTCTTTCTTTCTTTCTTTCTTTCTTTCTTTCTTTCTTTCTTTCTTTCTTTCTTTCTTTCTTTCTTTCTTTCTTTCTTTCTTTCTTTCTTTCTTTCTTTCTTTCTTTCTTTCTTTCTTTCTTTCTTTCTTTCTTTCTTTCTTTCTTTCTTTCTTTCTTTCTTTCTTTCTTTCTTTCTTTCTTTCTTTCTTTCTTTCTTTCTTTCTTTCTTTCTTTCTTTCTTTCTTTCTTTCTTTCTTTCTTTCTTTCTTTCTTTCTTTCTTTCTTTCCTTCTTTCCCTCCCTCCCTCCCTCCTTCCTTCCTTCCTTCCTTCCTTCCTTCCTTCCTTCCTTCTTGTCTTTTTGAGACAGGGTCTCCTTGTAGCCCCAGCTGTCCTGGGACTCACTATGTAGACCAGGCTGATCCACCTGCCTCTGCCTCCCAAGTGCTGGGATAAAAGGTGTATACCACCATGTCCAGCTTCTTTTTTGTGTGGGTGGATTGATTGCTATTAAAATTACCATTTTTGTATTCCAGTGATAAAACTAACTCCAGTCTCAGTGTCTTCTCTCTTTCCTCAGTCTTAAGCCAACCATTCCTTACTGCTTCCATTCCTTACTGCAGTTAAAAACCTTCCCAGTTCTTTCATATTTCCAAACATGAAATAAACCAAATCCCAATATTTGTGACATGGAATGTAATTGTTCTGGCAAAATAATGAAAAAGAAGAAAATCATTCTGTGGTGGTCTTTTCACCTTGGAAGTATTCACTGATATTTAGTAGATTTCATAATTTCCAGCATACATTCAGTTATGATAGCTAATATTATATCAAAAGTAAAGAATAACAAGGGGCTGGAGAGATGATTCAGTGATTAAGAGCTCTGGCTGCTCCTGCATAGGACCCAGGTTTGGTTCCCAGCACTCACATGGTGACTAACACCAGTTCAAGGGGATCCAACACTCTCTTCTGACCTCTTGAGGCCATAGAGCGTGGGTGCACTTACATGCAGGCAAAATACTCATGCACATATAAAGAAAAAAATATAGAATATAGAATAGTAAATACCCCAGGCCTTTTCCCTCCTGTGGCTTGTTGAATTAATCCATGACTTTTTGGTATCTGTCACCAGTGGTCCCTGGGACCTCTGGTCTGACAGCATCATATTTTCTAGTAAAACTAATAGTTGTAAGCCGGGCGTGGTAGCACACGCCTGTAGTCCCAGCACTTGGGAGGCAGAGACAGGCGGATCTCTGTGAGTTAAAGGCCAGCCTGATCTACATAGTGAGTTCCAGGAGAGCTGGGGCTACAGGGAGACCCTGCTTCAAAAAGACAAAAAACAAAACAAAACTAATAGTTGTTATTGAAAACCTGTGCTTGGCCAGCCTCCTTAATCCTCATTCTGAGGAAGAAGCTCTTTGGGTGTTGGCATTGGAAGGTGTTTGGAGTTGTCAGATCTCATCCCACTGTTGATTTATACTTTGGAATCCTTGCTCCGTTCCAGTGGTTCTAACCCAAGAGCATCTGACTTACTAGATTTATGGTTGCAGTGACAATGAAGAAGAGAAGTGACTCAGAATGCACTGCCCCCCTCAAGAAGCAGAAAAGAGTTGGAGAGCTTGCCCGGCACCTCAGCTCCACATCTGATGATGAACCTCCCTCCTCTGTCAGTCATGCAGCAAAAGGTACGCTGGTCTGTGTGGTCTGAGGCTACTGGCCATCTCAATGCCTACTGCTTAGATTGAGCAGAATACAGTTCACTGCCCCTTGCGGGGAAATTAGGCATATTTGACAGAAGGATGTAGCTATACATATGGATGCATCCATTCCACCTTTCTCATACCTGGAGTGGGGAACCTTGTTTCAAATAAAAATAGGGGCATTTTTCTAGAGGTGCCTTAGTTCTGATGCTGGTATGCTGGTTCTTCAGCAGGTGGCATTCCTTTGCTGCCTTAAGTCAGAAGTGGTGAGCATCGAATGTGGTGTTTTTTAATAGCTGTTTATAATTTGAGGGCCCTTGTTTTGGTCTTTTTTTTTTTTTTTTTTTTTTTGGCCTTTTTGAGACAGGGTCTCCCTGTAGCCCCAGCTGTCCTGGAACTCACTATGTAGACCAGGCTGGCCTTGAACTCACAGAGATCCTCCTGTCTCTTGTCTCCTGAGTGCTGGGACCAAAGGCATGCACTACCACACCCAGCCATTGGGGCTCTTTTGTAGAGGCGGGGCACAGCTGCCTGGCCTGGTTCTCAGGTCCTTGCCTTCTGTTTTCTCAGTTCCTTCAGCAACTGTGGTCAGAAGTACCCAGCTGTGGTGGAACATCACTCTATTTGTTGTTCATATTCAGCTCAAAGATTTCATTGGTTTGGTTGAAAGTAGTATTTTGCTTTGCTTGTTTGTGAGGATTATGAATATTCACAGTTTGTGCAAAAGCTCTCTGAAAGCTCAGTGTCTAGGAGTTCACTTCATATACCAAGCAGTTAGAAGTACTCCACTTCAGGCTGGGAGTGATGACACACTTCTAATCCCAGCACTTGGGAGGCAGAGGCAGGCGGATCTCTATGAGATAGAGACTGACTGGTATGTGTAGTGAGTTCCAGACAAGCTGGGGCTACAGCCTGTCTCACCCCCCCCCCCAAACAATAAAAGGTCTGGCGGTCTCAAACCAAGGTGTCAGCAGAGCCACATGCTCCTTGTCAAGGCTTCGTGGAAAGACTTCTGTCATTTTTGGAGGTTGTTAGCAGTCCTTGGTACCCTTTGGCTAGTGCCAATGTAACTCTGGTTTCTTACTCTGCCTTTCCTCTGTGTCTGTGTCCTCATTTCTGTCTTACTGGTTTAGGGCCCATGTCACTTTAGTGTTACCTCATTTTAACTTGGTTATATCTGCAGAAACTGTATTTCCAAGTAAGATTTTATTCACAGTTTCTAGGTGACAAGATATTTGGAGGACACTATATCCAACCAAGTATACCAGCAGGCTTGCATTTTGCATTCTCTGTGTGGTCATTGGTAAACTGGAACGAAACAGTAACAGATTGAAAGGGTGTGAAACTTCCTTTGTGGGTGGTAGGAAATGTAGTTTAGTCACAAGTGGTAGGCGCATGGAAGGACAGTTACATATCAGCTGTTACTGTGCAGCTGGTCCAGTCAAAAGCTTGACAGATGGTGCAGTTAATGGAGCATTTAGTACAGATGTGATCTAGGCTGGATAAGAGACTTTCATTAACCTTGTATGTGGAGGTTTGGGTGCTTTCAAAATCTCAGTAGAGCTGGGTATGGTCACACATGCCTAACTCCTGGCTGTTTGGGAGGCTGAGGCAAGAGAGATCACTTGAGCTGATAAATTTGAATTGGAGAGTAGCCTGGACAATGAAGCAGGACCTGTCCAAAAAAAGCAAAAAAAGTCACAGTGGGTTTTGGGGTAGGAGAGAAAGTATATAATCAGCATTACTGAACAGAAAGACAAAAACCTATTGATACACAGGTTTTAGGGACTGTTGAGGAAAGGTTTTTGCATCCCATTTAGGGTTTAAGCAACTTGGCAAAGATGGGGAAAGGAGAGATGGTCTACAAGGGAAAAGGGAGATGTGTCTGGGGAATGAGTGGTGCCCCGTAGGGTGGTGTCTAGTGCTAAGTGATCTTTGGCACCTTTCCAGGCAAGTGCTCTTTAGAAAAAATGAGAGGACAACTCCCAGGTGAGGGAAGGTAGAGGTAGGTGGATCCCTGAGATTGAGACCTGCCTGGTCTGCATACCAGTTCTAGGCCACCTAGGGCTAAAAGAAAACCCTGTCTCAAAAACAAACAAAAAAACCAGGACTAGAATCGGCCTATATTTCCCTCCCTCCCATGCCAGGTATGGAGCAAATGCTTAGTATATAATTACCGAACAGAAGTAAGACCAGTTACAGAAGCATCTTTCTAAGAATCTTAAAATGCTTTGTATCTTTTTCCATTTTACCCATCCCTCCTCCAGCTTGCAGATCATTTCATTAAGTATTGAGTGTTTCTATCGTCTGTCCTCTGTGTCTGCTCCTTTTAGGCATCCACTGGACAATGCACCCTGACAGTGTTCTGTCTTGCCAGAAACTACATGTCTCAGAGATGCGTGTGCGCCTTTCCTCTTGTGGCCACTGCATTAAAACAGGGGTGTTTGCGTTTGTTCCAACCCTCTACCTGCGTATATCGTTCCACTAGATGATTGAGAAATGCTCTTCAGGGAGGACAGTTAGAAAAACATCAGTTACTATTTCTATCTGGGCCTTGTTTTTCCTCCCTCCACTGGATCATGTGATGACTCATTAGTAGATCTATTTGATCAGTTTGTTTTACATTATTCACAAGATAGTTGCATTGCCAGTTCAGCAACTTGACATTTAGCCAGGGTAAAGGAAAAAAGGGAGGTTGTTATCATGGACACCTTGGCATCTTGTTCTTTCGAGTATTCTAAGAGGAGTTTGAAAATGTAAATAAACTCTTAGAAATTTACAATCAAGTAACGATTTGCAGTAAGGAGAGGCAGATGAAGCCATTTTGTTCTTTTTGGTTGTTTCTCATAGGGAAACTGGTCTGGATGTCAAAGCTGCCTTCTCTGTTTAGCTGTGTGCCTAGTGGGCTCCTGATCCTCTTGGAGCAGTTTGGTTTGGAAGTTGCAAAGCTCCTTCAGCACCATATTGAAAGCACCTTTCCCTCCACCAGGTTTAATTCTTTCCTAAATAGGCTATTTGCCCTGAAATGCCATCGCTTTCCTGTCAGCCCAGATTCATGACCTTAATCAAAAACTGCCTTTACTGGTATCTGTTTAAATTGCTCTAACGAGTTACTGTTTGTTTGGCAAGGAGAAATTGAGTCTTTACGCAGGAATGAGTGTATTCTCCAGCAATCGTGAGGCCAGATGTGATGTTTATTAAAATTAGTAACTTACTCTGTGTTTCTGTGCTGCTCACCTTGGCAGGATTGGTTGGAGAGGCCCATCCTTTTGTGTTAGCACTGTCTTTTTAACCTTGCCATGATTACCCTACTGCTCTCTTGCCATGTGAACAATTTGCCAACAGCTGGGAAACCTGTTCCTCTGTGAAGTGAGCCTTTCTTCTTTAAAATGACTTAGCGATGATTTCTGTCAGGTAGGGAAGAAATCGTAAATGAAGACTCTAATGTTTTGGTTTTAGAAGGGAATCTCCTTGGGAGGTAAATGGGGATGTTACCCAGCTTTGGCAAGTTCTTAATGAAAATAATGATTTTAATAGACTGACCTTATTACTCCTGCTAATTGATATCCTCATTACTAAGTTCTCTGCTGAGCATTTGCTAAGTTCTTACTGATCTTGAAAAGCAGAGCCCTTCTTCAGTTCGTGCTGCAGCCATGACAGTTCTCTATTTCATGTGAAGAGTGGCCCCAAAGGCCCAGAGGGTAAACATGAAGTGGCTGCAGCAATCTTTGGACATTAAGATTACTTTCTCAAAATTCTTTTTAAGTCATGTCAGACTAAGAATTGGGTTTATATGTTACATGAATCAAAGAGAGAAATTAGGTTTGGTTTGCTTTTTCATATACACGTCTCTGTCTCACAAAAATTACAGTATTTTAGCTGCCATCATCCTCACTCTCAGAACCTGGAAGGGACAGTATCTATGCAGTAGATACAGCCTTGGGAGGAGGAATGGAGTGGAAAGAGCTCTGTACCAGTGTCAGGTGCTTGAGCTTTGTACCTGAGTCAGCACAGATATGCCTAATTGATGAGCCTTCTACCCAAAGAAATCAAAGGTAGGACTCTGCATGAGTGGGAATGGGATTCTTACCATTCCAGGGTTCATTGTTGTGTCTTCAAGGAAATTTCACAGCCTGGCAACTCCCTAGAACAGTCCCTTTTGAGAAGGATACTGGTTTTAATGTTTTCAAGGTAGGTCTGTGTTTGTCTACAGGGCTGATGAGAACTGACATAACATTGCAGGCTTCTGATTAACCCTGGACCATTGCACTGCTCTGAAGTACTGCCAGGGCTGTGCTTAGGGAGTGGCCCATATTCCTGGCTCCACCTTCTCTGTACTGAGCAGTGCAGGTTGAAGGCTTGGAGGCCACTTAGAGAAGAGAATCTGCACCTTTCGAAACCCTTCTTAGCATGTGGGCCTTCTGCTCTGGTGCTGTCTCATCTCCTGGGAGGTGATAGATGAGCAACCTGGGGAGAGTCTTGGGACACTTAGGAGGCCTTGCCTCTCTTCAGAACTGCTGCCTTGAAGATTTCTCTGGAGAGGAACCAATCTGTTCTCAGGACTTGGAATGGTAGTTCTTTGTAGCTTCATTTTAAAAAAATATTTTATTTGTTATTTCTATTTTATGTGTATGCATGTATTGCCTGCATGTGTATAAGTGCACCCTTGTCGTGCAGTGCCCTTGGAGTCAGAAGAGGGTGTTTAGCCCCAGCTGTCCTGGAACTGAAGTTACAGATGGTTGTTAGCTGCCATGTGGGTGCTTGAAATTGAACCCGGGTCCTCTGCAGGAGCAGCTAGTGCTCTTAACTGCTGAGACATCTCTCCAGTCCCAGCTTCTTCTTTTTTTTTTTTTTTTGTTGAGACAGGGTCTCCCTGTAGCCCCAGCTGGCCTGGAACTCACTATGTAGACCAGGCTGGCCTTGAACTCACAGAGAGTTCCTGAGTGCTGGGATTAAAGGCGTACACTACCACGCCTGGCTCTAGC